TCTGTAGTTCTGTATGTCTGCCTGCCTGTCTGTCTGTAGTTCTGTATGTCTGCCTGCCTGTCTGTCTGTAGTTCTGTATGTCTGCCTGCCTGCCTGTCTGTAGTTCTGTATGTCTGCCTGCCTGTCTGTCTGTAGTTCTGTATGTCTGCCTGCCTGTCTCGCTGGTTGTCTGCCTCCCTGCCTGCCTACCATTCTGTCTGTCTGTGTGCATGGATCTAATAGACAACTGTAGCTGCTATTATCACTGCTGTCTTTTGTATGTATATTCATGCATTTTCTTTGGCCTACGACACGTCTTCCTTCCTGCGTTTCAGATCTGTGTCGTTAAAGAGCGAGACCCCTCTGAAATGAGGGACCTGCCCAGCCGTTACGTGGAAATCGGTGAGCTTACAGTGATCTAAAGCCCGTGGCAGGGCGTGGCTGTCCGCTGTAGGGCTCACGCTTCACATGCATGTCGACACGCAGAGGGAAATTTAGCTTCATCAGGTCACTTAAACATGTTGGAATTCAGAGGCAAAAGTATTTCTATTCTTGAGTCAGTTTCAACTCTAGTGTGCCTGTGCTTCAAACACTTCATTTCAGAGTGAGATGCAGGAGTGATGTTTTTTCCCATAGTGCAATGGACCTTGGTACTCCCTTCAGAACAGGCAATATGTCTGTTAATTCCGCCCTTATTCGATTTGGCTTCGTTAATTTCAAATAGAGTTGCCACCTGTCCCGTATTTTATGAGATCATCTTATATTGAAAAATAAAGTGCTGTGTCCCATTTGCTATGGGACGCGACTTGTCCTGTATGATCGTATCAGGACTGAAATACAATATACTCTGTGATAATAGCCTGTCGTTCCCCTGCAGTGTCTGCGTTTGACATGGAATTCTACATCTGCGGCCTGGGGCCACTGGCCGACCAGCTGGTGACGCTGTACTACGTGAAGGAGGACGCCGACCACGTGGTATGAGCCGCGGCCTCTCTGTCCTGTTCCTCCACGTTCAACTGCCCATCCATAAGTACAACCAGCTGCCCATTTTACCAGAGCTGGTCAGCTTCAATACTTTTTTAAGGATATATTAGACAAACGTGCATTCAAGTGCATTATGGCATTCACAGTACAGCGGTGTCTCTCATCCCAGTCTGCCGGGACCCCCAGACAGTCCACAGTTTTGCCAGTATACCTGAACCAAACAATCAAGAATAAACCGAACAAACTAGAATGCCAGATGCGTGGTACAGGTGTGGTGGGATCGGGGAGGGAGCAAAAATGTGGGCTGTCTGGGGATTCCACTGCTCTGCCTTCCAGATAAGTTGAGGAATCTGCGTGACTTTTTTTTTAAAGGTTAGTTTGTGCTTGTGCGGATTATCACAGCAGAAAACAAAAAAATGGTGCATCGCAGGGAAGAAAACAAATGTCTGTACTTGTGTTTGTACAATATGTGCGTAATACTTTCGATATCAGTGTTTACTTGGGGACCCACAGACAGTCTACGTTTTTGCTCCCTGGGAGGGAACAAACATGTGGATTGTCTGGCAGGGAGCTGGGAGGGAGCAAAAAACGTGGGTCCCAGAGATATGTATTGGGAAGCACTATGCTGTATGCTTTGCCGGTCAGGAGGAGGAGTTCCGCGCACGTCCCCGTCTGGACATCATCCAGCCTCTTCCGGAGACTTGCGAGGAGATCTCCTCTGATGCTCTCACCGTGCGACAGTTCCAGGAGAACGAGTGCAGAGATTATCGCCTCGGTGAGGGCATCTCTGCTGCTTGCTTTTTAATCGCTTCCTCAGCAGTCGTTAGGATCCTTATTAATCTGCTCTTCTTTAAAAGAAGACGCCTGTAGCGTAAGGCCCTGTGATGTGACAGTAATCAGGGGCCCTTTCCTCAGTCTGACTAACATGACATTAGCTGTTAGCCTGTAGCATAAGGC